AGGCCATCGAATCTAACTGACAGATTTGGGAAAAAAGAAAAATATTAGTTAGTGGGCATATGAACTTAGTACTAGCTTTAGAGCCAGTACGCCGTTCAAGTGATGTATCCAGTTTAAGAAAACTATATGATGAAATAACTGTTCAAAAAAGAAGTTTAGAGACATTAGACATTAATTTTAATTCTTACGGCAATCTATTACTTCCTGTTTTATATAAGTGTATACTGCAAGATTTAGTGTTACAGTTTAGTAGGGAGCAAAAGATTGGCACAGAATAAAACAGTGTCAGATTTATTGTTGGTTCTAAAAAGAGAAGTAGAAGCGGGCAAAAAGTCATTAACTCTGGATTTTAATCAACAAACACTTTTGAAATCAAGTGAAAGAGATACCAACAACTATTTTAAAAGTGTTGCTCCAATTAAAAAGAAAATGGTATCAGCGAAAATTATATGTGCGACTTTTTCTTAAATCTCTTTCTAAAGACTGCGATCTTAAGTATTTCAGAGAAACGCAAAGCATTATACGATCAATTTAAGTGCAAGCGCTGTTTAAAAAAGGGTCACAAAAACCATTTTGTAAGGCAAAATGGGTTAAATGTAATATTTGCAAATCTTTGTCCCATTTAAAGAGCCTGTGTGATGCAGAAGGGCAAGAAAATAAATCCATTAAAAAATACTGCGAGCACAGGAAAGGAAACAAACATTAGTTCACTATTCCTCGAAACACTGAGCAAGCAAATTCCTAATGACCTGATTTATTATCAAACATTGAGAGGTCAACTGGTAGGAAATAATTCTACATTTAAGGTTAGGTTGTTATGCGATTCTGCTTCCGAAAGATCTTATGTTTGTCAGTCTATTTCCAGAAAAGCAAGTTTACCAAATATTGGTAAAGAAAGATTATTAAGAATTCATCTTCATCTTCGAATCCTCCAGTAAGAGAATTTAAAAGGAAAAATACTTAAATTAAAAAATAAGAATGGGTTCACTCTAATCATGGAGCACTCGAAGTAAAAAACATATGTTCCAATGCATTACCCAGGCCATCTGCAGAAATTATAAACAATCTTCGCCAAGGGAACAGATTCGTCAGCTTTGGGAGATTGAAAGTCTAGGAATCTCAGAGTGCTCGGAAAGGGGTTGTTCTGGCGATGAGCGAATAATTAAACAATTTGAAGAGGATTTGAAATATGTAGATGGGAGGTATGAGGCTCGCTTGTTGTGGAATAGGAGTCCAGAGCATTTGGAAAATAATTTTGGTTTAGCGAAAAGGCAGTTCGAAAGGGTTGCAGCGAGGAGTTAAAAGGTAACAGCTTTGTGAGGGAACAGTTTATGGAAAAATTAAATTTCAGACACAAAAACAACATTATTCAAGAGTGTGAGGATACGGAGAGGGGGTACTTTATGCCATTCCGAGCAGTGGTCGTAAAGATAAAAAAAAGCACTCAAGTTCGAATGGTATTTAATTGCGCAGCAGTAGCGAAAGAGGAAAGCTATCGTTAAACGATTTTGCTCAGAAAAGGGCCCAAACCTAAATCGAATATTTGGATATCATCTTTCCTTTCGAAAATTTAAAATTGGATTTGCGGTGACATAGAAAAGGCGTTTTGATGATGGGATAGCAAAGGAAGATAGAATATTTAAAAATTTTCTGGTTATCCTGATAAGACAGTGAGGACTTTAAAATTATGCAAATGAACAGAGTATTATTTGGATGTAATTGTTCACCGTTTTATTGAGTGCAACAATCAAACATCATTTAAAGACATATGCAGAAAAAAACAAAAACTGTGTCGAGATGCTAAATAGCTCACTGTATGCAGACGATTTGTGTTATGGAGGGGAAAAGTGTAGAATCAAGCTTCAGTCTTTCATCAGAGGCGGTATTTTTTGAGAGAGGCGAGTTTTAAGTTTTAATTTGAGAAAGCTAAACACTAATTCTAAAGAGTTGTATGATTTGTGGGTTCAGAAAGGGTTGTGTGAAGAAAGTAGGACTAAGAGAGATAGTAAGTTGAAAGTCTTAGGCTTGGTGTGGAACTTAGAAGAGGATGGTTTGAGAGTAGAAGTTACATCATTGTTGAGTAGTTTAGAATTGTTGAGAAATAGCAAAAGATCGGTGTTAAGCACAGCAATTAAGGTGTTTGACCCAGACGGATTTATTTCTCCATTTGCGGTGCGAGTTAAGAGACTGATATAGGAAATATGGGAGAGAGGTTTGGAATGGGATGCAGAGTTGCCAAAGGAGTTACGATGGATAAGTGGTGCGCTGAAAGAGAATTAAAAGCGTTGAAAATAAAGAGGTACTACTTTACAGAAGTTCTAAGTAAGGGTCAGTCGGTTGAAATTCATATTTTCAGTGATGCGTCAGTAGTGGCATATGGAGCGATGGCATATCTTAGATATAAGAATGAGAGAGGAGAGGTATGTACGTCGTTTATAAAGTCGAAGAGAGTAGGATAGCTCCGTTAAAAAGTTGTCCCTCCCTAGGTTGGAATTGATGGGGCTGTAATTGCAGCTAGGTTAGGAAAATATTTATTGAAAATGTTTCAGGATTTGGTAGGTAGGTTAGTTCTGTGGACGGACTCCGAAATTTGCTTGTGGTGGATAAAGGGGTCAGCGCATGAGTGGAAACAGTTCGTGTCGAATAGAGTTGCAGAAATACAAGACTGTACCTCGCCTGATAAGTGGAAATATTGTCCAGGGTCGGAAAACCCAGCAGATAAATTAACTCGTGGTGAAACAGCAAATGCATTGATGAAAGATAATAACTGGTGGCATGGTACATCATGGTTGAAAGATTCTGAAGATCAATGGCCTGAGCAGAGTTTAAAGTAGAAACTGATACTCAAAAATTTGGAGCGTTAAGCACTTAGTTCAGGGTGACTATTCCAGAAGAAGAAAAATGCATTACACATTACCAAATTCAGCAGTCTCGAAAAATTGTGAGAGTTACAGCTTGGGGTTTTTAAAGCGGTTTGTCGCCAAGCTAAGAAAACGTGCCTGTGAAGAAGGTCCTCTTACTGTATTGGAGATCCAATGAAGCTGAGGAGTACTGGATAAAACAAGTACAGAAGAGCGAATTACTTTTCGGATATTCAACAAACTAGAGAGGAATAATCTAATAACACCAGATTCTAAAAGCTTTACAGTTTAGCACCATATCTGGACAGTAGAGGTATTTTGCGTGTCAGAGGTCATTTGGAACAAGCAGAATTAATAGATGACGAAAAACATTCCATTATTCTGCCCAAAAACGAAGTTCACCGAACTAGTGATATTTAGTGAACACGTAAAAGTATTCCATTCAGGAGTCATGGCAACATTGTCCAAAGTCAGGAATAAATTTTGGATACCTAAAGGAAGACAAGTAGTAAAGAAAGTTATTAACGCTTGCCTGGTGTGTAAAAAGTTTGCAGTGAAGCCCGCCAAACAGTTAACGGGTCAGTTACCCAGAGATCGTGTAGTCCAAAGTAATCCTTTCACAGTTGTGGGCATCGACTTAATGGGAGCAGTTACTATTAGAGAAAAAGCGGATAACCACAAAAAGGTGTACATAGCCTTATTTACATGCACAGTCACTCGTGCTGTACACATTGAAGTGGTTTCAGATATGTCAGCAAAAAGTTTCATTTTTTCATTACGAAGTTTTTTAGCAAGAAGAGGGAGCTGCAAAGTGATTTATTCAGATAATGCCAAGAATTTCCGCAGCACATGGGAAATAATTAAAGGATTTAAAAGAATCAAAGCAGATCCAAGTGTGAGTGATTTCTTGACATCCAAACATGGAAATTCATACCTGAGCGTTCCCCATGGTGGGGAGGGTTCTGGGAGCGTTTGATGAGAAGCATCAAGGAACCTCTGAAGAAAATCTTAGGGAAGAGCATTACTGACTTTCGAAGAGCTCTCTACAATATTAACTGAACTCGAGTGTGTGCTTAAATAATAGACCTCTTAACATACGAGAGCAACGAGCTGGGTGAACCTCGCCTGCTCACACCTTCACAGTTGTTATTGCCAGGACGTGATACATTTAACTTTCCCGAGCATTTCTTGGAAATTTTTAACAAGGTATCCGACAAAGAGACTTTAACTAGGAGGAAGCTTTGCCAATCTAAGGCTCTTAAAAAATTAACATGGATCAAGTGGAAAGAGCAATATTTACTACCATCTTAGAAATGCGCATAACTTTGCTAATCCTAAAACTGAGCGGAACCTTTAAGACTGGAGACGGTTGTGTTGGTAGAAGGACCAAAACAATCCAAACTACCTTGGACATGAAGTGGATTACTTTGGGACATGGGTGTAATTGAAAACGTAATTATGGGAAGAGATGGACATGTTCGAGCGTGCCTCGTTCGCACGCCCAAAGGACAATTCAGAAGATCGATCCAGATGTTATATCCTTTCGAGACTTAATTTAGAACTTTTGATATTATTGAATTTTATTATATTATTAATTATTATGTTTATTTGTGGCTTTGATATATACTAGTATAGATTATTTTTTATATTATTCATTTATATATGTCATACCATTTAGTATTAATCCATTTTTAATTATGTTGATATTGTTATGTAAGTAAGTTTGTGTACTCTTGTTAAAGAGTACAGGTGGGGAGTGATGTAGAAAAAAGAGATAGACGGCGCTGCGCGGCCCGCATGTTTAGCTAATTAAGAGTTTTGGGAGAGAGGGTTGAGAGGTTGATGAGAGTGGTTGAGAGTGACATAAACTAGATACTCTGTAATCTGTATATAATATTTGTACATAGTCTTCTCTTCATTAAATAGATTTAGTTAAAGGAAAGTGTCTTTGTTTGGCCAATAGAACACAAGAACCACCGATAACGAAGATGTAAGTAAGTTATTACAACAGAAAAGTAACTGAAAAACTAGCATTTTTCAAGACCATGTAAATGATCATAAAATTACACTAAAAATAGTAAACAATCATAAATAAATTTGATTTGATTCAGTAGTTAAGGAGTAAACAAATATATAAACCTTGTGCTGTCATGGGAGGTTGGGGCATTTGCACTTGTCCACTGTTGTCAGACTGATTGGAGGATGGTCTCGGGGGCATGGGAATGTTTGGTTGTTGACCTATAAACAGAATAACAGCAATATGAGATTTAATTAAAGAATTATTAAAATAGGATAAGACTAAAGTATTCCATCAAAATTTGGTACTTAATGCTTGTAAAAGCAAAGATTAACGCAGTAGAAATAATTTCAAATTTAACAGTTTTTGGAATGAGTCTGTAGTAATTAACACAGGGTTCGTAGCCACATTTTAGTTAAAAAAATAAGCACTTTTCAAGCACATTTTAAGAAAAAAAAATAAGCACCTGTCTAATTACATTATACACAACTGCATTACCTTAAAAGAAAAATTAGACTTGTAACTTAAAATATGAGAAATGCAGTATTTATTAAGAGAGAATGAGCATTACCTCAAGCATGGAAAACAATTACTTTTTTTTTTTTTTTTTTTTTTTTTTTTTTTAAATTTTAAACAACAGTTCAATTTACAGAACATGTTTACAATGAGAGAAAAACAAACTATGCAGATCTAAACTATATTACAAGATTTAATGACGAAATTTCAGTTCAAAATAGAGAAAATAAATAATAATAAGCCATATTTATTGTATTCACTTGGCACCTAATAATAAATACAATTTATTTTTCTACTCATATTAATATTTAAATAATTTAACTTAAATCAGAATTCTGAACATTTTCTAAATTTTCATTGTATAACAGTTTTCCCTTAACAGATATTGCAAGCAAAGTAATTTAAGTAAAAAAGAGGAACATTTCTGAAATCAGAAGATGGGAAATTGCTTCATGCAGTAATCCTTTAACAATAAAAGCTTAATTAACCTGAATACTCGGAAACTTTCGAATATTCTGGATAGTCGAGCGTAACTGGAAAAAGAGGATCGAAATGTAGATTGTAGCCGTTCTTTAGATTTTTCGGCTAAATAAATGCTTTAGACATTTCGATATGTGAATCATATAAAAATAGACCAACGGAACTGAAAAATATTCTGCTTAACAAGCACAATAAAGCTCTTAAGTGTTCATAAACAAATCTCAGATTGAACATAAAAATTAATTATCTCTGCAAAATATTGCAAACATTATTGCACAATACGTGGGCCATAATTCTTCCATGCGTGATATTATGCAATCGGAATCAACAGCTCCCGATATTTGGTGAATAAAGAACTAAATAAAGAAAAAGAAAGAGACTTTCTTTCTGGGGAGTTTTTCACTCTAATTTTGAACAGACTGCGTTAAATTTCTGGAACAGAATCATTCTTCGCTTGGGTTAGTAGACTGCAGATTTTTTAGTCCTATTCAACCCTTATTAGAAAGTGACAAAAAAAAAAAAAAAAAAAAGAGTCTGCTTGTTTTGCAGCGAACTGTAATGGTTTCAACATTCGAGATTTTGTGGAGAAGGGAAAACCTCCCAACCTCTAAATTGGAGAAGGGGGGGGAAGGAAGAAGAAGATTACTATTCGATTACTTTACCTTTATTTAAGGCATTCCGAATATCATTCCTTCGAAAGCTATCTGTGTTAAAACACACTTATCCATTTTTTGGAAGTTTATCTATACTTCAGCAGTTACTGCAACTACATTATCATAAATATCCATACATATGCTCATAATATAAGCATAACGATCATATAAAATGTGAATATGAACTGACCCCGCGGAACGAGAATGCAAATTATTAAAATCTCGATAGAAATTCAAACGTATGTAGTATTTGGGTGGGAGGAAAAGAATACCAAATGCACCAGAATTTTCTACCATTTCGCAATTCTTTGACCAATAGAGAACGACGTGCACCTGTCTGTACTATTCCGTGCACCAAAGGTTACGTTAATGCAGAGAAAAGGGGAAAAGCTATTTCTGAGAGTTTGATTCACCATCTGACGTTTCATATAAGGAAGAAAAGTTGTTTATTTTAGTTTCGGCTTTGGTGTGGGAAAAAATGCGCGTTCATTTAAAAAAACACCTATAAGGGCCTTTATATTTTATTTTCAAATATAAGGACACTTCAAATATAATAAGCACTTGTACGGACTGCTATGAACCCTGTAACACAGCATCAAAAACAATATCACACATGCTCAGATGGATACCAATATTTAGATGCAGAATATTAGAAACAATTTTTAATGACAGTTTAAAAACATGTCTGAATTATGTAAAACTAGCAGAAAATGATAGCTTCAAAAATTCTCAAAGTTTTTATTTAAAATAGACAAATTTAAGTTTTAATACAAGGTGAGACCAAAAAATAAGGTGACTGATGCCATAATAATAACTGTATTATATATTTACATATAAATACATCACTGTATTTATATGTAAATACAATAATAAATACAATAAATTTAATCTACAATATAGTTCTGACAAAGTTCATACAAGTTCTGGAAACTTTTGAAAAAGTCCTCCTTTGAGACTGTGGTTCTCTTGGTAACAGCAGCTTGAATGTTGAATGGAGATGCTTGAAAATCGGTGTCTCTTCAGTGCCAATTTCAGTCATGGAAAGAGGAAAGAGTCTGCTGGTGCAAGAACAGGAGAATAAGGATTGATCTTGCGCCAGCAGACTTTTTGTAATATATATAATACAGTTATTATTATGACACCAATCACCTTACTTTTCAGTCTCACCTTGTAATATTCAATTAATTAATATTTAGCCAATATTTTATTGCAAAAGGTTTTATTTTAAACTACTTTCACAAATATACTTCTAGATTTATTTTCATTTGGGAAGACAGACTGCATTGGCAATTGTTGGCAATATTTTGACTTAATTGAAAAGAAATTTTCTCATTCATCATAGATTCAAACTACCAAAATACATTATTACTTTTATAATGTCACCAAACAAATGTTTAACAAAAAGTTGCAGAGCCTGTTTTATATTTAAATCTAACCCTTTAAAAACTTTAGCCATTTCCAAATGATAAAGTATTGTATAATTTCATTTCACGAGTTATGATTTAAAGACAAATAAGTTTATTATAATTTAACAAATATGCAAAGATTATAAAGCAGCTTAATTTTTTTGAAATAAACATATCTAATAATTCTTCATTTGAGTAAGAAAGGAAATTTAAAGGCTATGATGCTAATTGTTTAGCTTTGTTTTATATATTTTCAAAATACTACTCTAGACCATTAAATTAATACTTTATTCTAAAACTTATAATACTTAATAAAAATATTAATAAAAGTTTTATTAGAGTCCAAATGAATCAGGAGTTCCTATAAGCTGTTTTTGTTAACTTTTCGATAATAAAAAATTTTTGAAGTCATTTATTTAGCTCAAAAATGTTACTTAATTTTCTTTCCATCCCCTCAAGTTGATTAAAATTAATGTTAATTCTGAAATAAAAACTATAATTAACTTCGCATTCAAATTATAATTAATTTAAGCATTCAGAAATACTATATTAAGAAACTAGCAGGATACATTAAAAAAGAACGTAGTCTGACCTTAACGAAAAGAGAACGCATTTTACCCAGTTTGCAAATTATATACAATCAGTTTCTCCCGCGAAAGCAATGCACCTGTAGAAAGAAATCGATAACCATTAATTGCCCTTTATGCACACAGACGGGCGAGATCACCCTACCCTCCACTATACCCCCCATTCAAGGTCAATGCCATCAATAGCATCAGCTGACAGGAGCAGAAAACGAGGTCAGTCAGAAAGAAGAGAGAGAAAGTGGGAAAAGCAGAAAAGATAAGGTGGAATGTGAAGGGGGGAGGGCTGGAATTTCCCATTTAATGACATCAACGGTGGATGAGCTCACGTGACCTGAAAAGGCTGCGATTTCCGCAAACAATGTCAATCACGTTAAAAGTGCTTAAGGTCGTTTAACCCTACAGTGAAGGTCATTAAATATACGAAATGCAAAGTAAATTCATTCGCTAACACACGAAATTTAATTCACTTTCCCATTGCATAATCGCTTTTCACACAGCAAACCCAGCATATAAAATAATTATTAAAATAGGAAACAAGACTTAGCGCGTACCCGAAATTTCGCAAGACATTTTCCTACACATTGACATTAAGTGGAAATATACAGCGGATTATTTATTTATAAAGAATTACAAGCTTTAGAGACATTAAAATACTAGCTAGAACAAAACATGATAAACAAATTAATATTTATATTATGTGAAACTTGATGCCAGCAATTAAGAAACAAATATTTAAAATTACAGTTTCTTAACATATTAATTTCTAAAAAAAAATTAATTTAGATATAATATACATCATGCAATAAAAGAAACAACTGGGACTCTCACAAAATAATACTTATATCATAACTGGAAAAATTTATTAAAGAGCATAAAATATTTAACTTTAAAACTGCAGTCAAACATAAATTGCTTTATAACTTATTTTATATGCTTTATAACTTTAATTAAACAACTGAAAATACCGTTTTCAGTAGCTCAGATTGTTATAAATAATGTAACTATGTACGACAAAAGTTTTATGCCGTAAATAAACTGGCAATAGTTTTCGATGAATGCGATGGCAGCATGCAAACTACGAGAACTTTTCGCGAAACGAGAAGCAAAACTGGAAGACCTAGATTGCAGACAATAAAAGTAGATAGGAAGGGGGGGATTATGAAGGTAAAATTAAACATGTGAAATAACTGATGTTTACGCAATTTTTCAACATAAAGATTTATTAACATTTTTACGAAGTGGAGTGCTGAGTAACGCTTTTAAGTGTTGTCCAAAACTCATGCTGTTTGTTTCCACGCTATGCAACACGTTATGTAAAATACACACTGAATACAGTAATACACCTCAGGCAAACGAAAGACGTACCCTATATGAAAAAGAGAAGATGGACTAATTGTCGAATAATAGGAAGTGCAGCGCCACCTAGTAAATGGATACACTTTTCAAGAACTATCGTAAAACTTCGATTACTTGAACTCGATCATGTGAAATTTTCGGAAAGCCTAAAGAAAAATACTCGGTGACGGCTTGGTGAGGGATATAACCAATATTTTTTCTGGTACTTTTCAGTTTTGCCGGCGCAGGCGATAAAGTCGCCAATAATGGTACAACCTAAGTCAAACGGAATATCCTCGCTGGTAACCTTTTACTCCTCTCTTTCGAAACAAGTCACAGCCGTTTCTTATCAGATTGTTCCTTTCAATACCAGCATATAATTAGATAGAATTTTTACCAGATAGTTCAATTTTATGCCCTAAGTCAATTCGCAGGCGGTAATTAAGTCAATTAGGATGCAATTCCACCCCTCACCCGATGGCGAAAATATAGAAAGGCAAAGTCAAGGGTTATATTCATCAGTTCTAATGAGAATGCACCAGTGAAGTAAAGCACTGCGGTCTTACATAATTTCTGAGTAAGCTATTCGTACGAATTGAAATAATATTGCATTTAAATTTGTATTCCAAATTAAGATTTAACTTGAAATTAATGTAGATAATTACTGAAAGAATTAGATTTTTGTAGCGTAGTTTATGTGAGATGAGATTTCTTGGGTCACGTGATATCTATCAATCGGCGAATCAGGATGCTGTACCATGAAAGCATAGTAAGTTATTAGATTAATGTCTTTTTACAAATTTATTGTCTTTATTTCTTGGCTTTTTTACAAAATTTTGAAGGGCATTAAAATGTTTATATCTTAAAAAATTCTTAGAACTAACATTTGTCTACATTTTTTATGTATACACTGTGTGTTGTAGCCAATAAAGTCTGCCTGGCGAGATTTGCGCCGGCGAAACGGAAAAGTGCCTTTAATCTCTTTGAAATGACCACACGTCATCTAATCTTCCAGCATAACTACGTGATTCACATTTAGAAAAGAAAAGAACTTTTAGGCATACGATAAAAATAAATAAACAAAAAACTGAATTTCTGAACGTCATGTTTAATCATGTTTCAATATTTCTTATGGATCGGAAAAAATTTTTTTTTAAAGGTGTTAAAATTTTTGTTAAATTAAAATTTCGATCTTTTTTTTTTTTTTTTTTTTTTTTTTTTTTAAATATTATTTCCTGAGTTTTTGGCTTACCGAAATTCGATTACCGTATATAACCGCGTATAAGTCGGGATATTTTGAACACACACACACACACACACAAACAAACAAACAAACAAACAAAAAAAAAAAAAGGGGGGGGGACTTCAAAGTGGGGGGGGGGTCGACTTATACGCGGGGCCATAAAAAATTAAAAGAATCGGACGTTCAAAAATTTCTTTATATAATGCAGTTGTTTTCTTCCCGCATTCAAATTGGACGACTTATCAAATAAGTCACTTACATGAAGTAATTTCATGACTTAAATTATGTCTAGTAGTGATTGTAGAGTTCGAGACTGAAAATATGTATGATGACGAGCCAATGACGGCAGAAGGAGATCTATGAAATGTTTGGCGAATCTGACCACGAATCGGACGTTGAAGGATTTTGATTTTCTTTATTAGTCCAAAGGGATTTCAGTCCCGAAGGACTATTGCTTTCGTTTTGGCATTTTGCGTCGGACTCATAAACGTCGGTTCACTTTTCAAACTGTTGCCACAAAGTGTTAGAGTCCTGCATTATATTTGAAGAAATTAAATAATGAAAAATCTGCATAAATGATTGTCTATTTCTCGCATTGTGATAAAACAATGGTACATAGAGCCATCGAATTTTGAATGACGAAATCCTACTGCGAATATGGACATTTGAAATCCCAAATTTGGAATTTGTTTTATCATAGATTTTATATTTTGTAAAACTTTAACGAATTTTTGATTTACTAACTCAATGCTTTAAAAGCGAGAAATGGCAACGTTATATAGAAAAAAAAAAAAAAAAAATACTTTTATCTCCAGCTCGCGAGACTGTGTATATCGGAAATTCTAAAGATATGCTTAATTTAACATTATTTTGCGATATTGCTCTGGAACTTAATTTTATGGTTTAAGTGCAAAGAAAATGATATTTAATAAATAAAGGTAACACTCAAAACGTTAAAAAAACGCCCCTTTGGACGTAATTTAAAATCTGAAATTTTTCAGATTTTTTTTTACCTTTTTTTACCAATTTATTTTTTATCGTACATTTACTTTTTTTTATCAGATGATTTTGAATAAATGTATACTTAAAAAAATTTTTTCGAAGTTTCTCGATTGATTTCGGAAGTGGGGAGTCGACTTATACGCGGGTTTCTTATTTTCTACGAATTTTTTATGTCGAAGTGGGGGGGTCGACTTATACGGGGTATATACGGTAGTTATTGTTCATTCATGTACACGTCAAAATTAAAAAAATAGCCCACGCAATAACTAAACAGTTTTGAATATTTCTTTTAACTTTTAAAAAGGGGAAATGCAGATAGATTTTACACGTACGCGAATCTTTTCCGGAACAAATTCTAGAAGAAGGATTTTGATTTTGTTTATTTAGCAAGGTATTTTTATCGTATATTTACTTTTTTTTTTTTCCTCGGATGATTTTGAATAAATGTAGTACTTAAAAAAAAATTTTCGAAATTTCTGGATCGATTTCGGAAGTGTGGGGTCGACTTGTACGCGGGTTTCTTATTTTCTACGAATTTTTTATGTCGAAGTGGGGGGAGGGTCGACTTATACGCGGGTATATATAATTGTAATATGATTTAAAATAAAGGAGAAATTACACGGGAATTTTTTAAAAAATGATTAATTAATTAATTAATCATTTTTGCTTTTAAAATTAAAACAAAATATTAACGGAAAAAACTGTTATTCATCAATTATTTCTTCAACAACACAGACATAAAAATTTAATTTTCCAGATAACAAAGTTTCAGCATTATTTATTCAAATTTTTATTTTCTCCATTCTTTTAAATCTCTACACAGAACTTCAAATTTCAAACAAAAAACAATGAACGTGCGAAATAAATTGAAAGGATTTAAAATACTTTTATCTTCAACTTCACATCCACATTTGTTGTAAATAGAAATTATTTACTTCATAAAGGATTCCTCTTCAGGAAAGCAAAACAAGGGAAAAAATTCCGCGTCATTTTGGAATGGGGGGGGGCGAGAAAGACAAATGAACAAGTAAAAATAAACAAACATGGAGCCAATGACCAAAAAGGAAAGTTTAAAGATACTATTTAAAAAAGAAAAAGACATTAAAAGAAATACAAATATTAAGAATCTGCTAGCGCTTTGGCTTTGGAGAAAAGCCGTATCATAATTAGTCATCAACAATTCTGGTGAATGTGGACTGCTTTAGAAACAATCCACAACTCAAGACATGTTTCCAAAAGATTAATAAAAATTACCCTGATATCAAAAAGACTCTTTTGGATAACTTATGAGGAATGTAACCTGTTAATTGCCAGATTACTACTTTTTTAAAAAAATATTCTATTTATATAAACAAGCATAGACTATTAAATTTTACAAAATAGAATATATACATTATTTTTATAGATTTAAAAATGAATCCCAATTTGGAGATTATGGTATATAACATGTAAATAATTGCATAATGTTTTTATGAATGCCATTCAACATGTAACCCAACATCACACTTTACACATGGCCTAAAGAGTTTTTTAAATCAAACTGCGTTTTTCCTTGTTTTCCATCTAATGTTTTTTTTTCTAAATAATACACTTTAGGATTTTTTCTTACATTTGGCATTCGTTTTTGTAAGCTAACATTGCATGATAGTTTCCGACTACATTTTTGAAAGAAAGACAGTGTAAATAAAACTTTACAACTTCTCTTTTGAAATTTAATAGTGGCACTTTTTCATTAGCATTTCATTGTATGAGCATTAACTAGAACTTATCTGCAGGATTGGTAAAAATAAGAAACTACCACTCTGCCTTTAATTTTTATTTTATAATTTTGTACATTCCTGTCAAGTTTGAATTCACCCAAGTTCCTATTGTAATTTGCAATGGCATTAGGAATTAACACTTTTTTCTCAGTTCTAGGCCATCTTTGCACTTGCTCCAAAGGAAAAAATTCCTGTCTTCCGCAGTGGTCTTGGCGAGAATATTGGTATTTCATGTTTCTGAGAGAAACTAACATATATGGTTACCGATCAACTCAGGCGTATTTCTTCTAGCTTTACTTTAAAAATATAAACATTT